GTTGAGACCTTGGAACAGAATCTCACATGTGTCATGTCCTTTCATCTTTTTTGAAAGAAAAGCCTCTCTACACCTCTTAATATTCTAGCAACTGCTTTTGCATTTCAAATCTTACACGCCACCTCTTCTTCTTCTTCTTACATACTTGTCTTGTGGGTCCTAAGTCGGTCGGATTCTAGTGAAAGTAAGCCTCGTGTAATGCCCACTAATGGCTCTACTTGTCCTGCTCCACCATTACAGTCACTTATTCAAAAAGACTCATCTTGAGCTTCTTTAAGCTTCTCAGAGCTTGATTCAATAATAGATTACCATGGTCCTAATGAGTAAACATCATTCTCTAACCATACAAGAAGGTTATGGTAACAAATTGGGGTTAGAGAATGCCCATAAATGAGTCTAGGCCTAATAGAGATGCTTACAACAGAACATTGGTTTAGCTTTTGAGCTAAAGAAACAAGAATCATCAGCCTCCACTACAATTGTTGTTAAAATCAGATCCTCAAACTATACAATACTTCACTTCACTCACTAAGAAGAGCCTTTATGGCTCATACAACGATTGACCAGACTCTGATGAGTTAGTCGGCGATGATCTTGCACAAACAAAAGGCGGAGGTGGTGGATCAACAGACAATGTACCTTCCAAAACCTTTACAACTTCTCCCATTGACGGTCTTAACCGCTCATCCGCCTGAACACACCAAAACGAGATTCTCAAAACCTGCTCGAGCTCCTCTACGTTGAAACTTCCTTCTAATCTTTTGTCCACAACGGTTTCTTTCCTCCCTTCAATCCATTCTCTATACACCCATTCACTCACTACACCTTCTGCCTCGTACCTACCCGTTATTAGAGTTAAAACGGTTTTGCCAAAATCTTCAACGTCTTTATCTGCAGCACATAAACCGAATCCATATTCTGTTAGCTTTGCCTCAAAATCCTCACCGAGCAGAATGTTTCCGCAGTTCAAGTTCCCATGACTGACGAATTCTCTGCATTCCGTGTGGAGATAACAGAGAGCTTTAGCCACGCTTAAGCAGGTTTCGGTTCTTTTCTTCCAAGTTAGTTTCTTGCTTCGTAAAGGGTCAACAATGTGGTCAAGTATAGACCCGTTCTTAGCGTATTCGTAAACCAGAAACCTCCTGCCTCGTTCGCAGCAATAACCTTCAAGCTTTGCTAAATTCTTGTGATGCATTGTTCCTATCTTTGATGCAGAGCTTCGGAACTTCCTTTCATCTGTTGTCACTTCCATTTCTTTGACCGCAACACATTCATTCTCTGGCATAACCCCCTTGAAAATCTGCGGTCCTATGGTATGGTCAAAATTATTGGTCATGGCCGTAATCTCATCAACAGAGAATATAATCACACCTTTAGGATTTGTCGCTTTGGAGAACTGATCAGCTTTCTTCTTAGCTTGCTTCTTCTTCCTCTGATAGATGTAGACAACAATACCGAGCTGAAAACCGAGAAACAGAACAAGTGTAGTGGAAGTTGCCCCGACAAGACAAGGAAGACAGATACTGTGAGACTTTGTCACAGCCACTGGCCCTTTAGCAACATCTGAATTAGGATTAACAGCAACCGGGTCCGTACATGTTTTAACATACGATATCGAACTCAGAGAAGGATCAGAGTAACCGCTGATATATCGAGTCAGCTTCATGAGACATTGTGGATTCCCATCGTTCCTGTAAGTGACTGCGGTACAAGCAGAGTCCTCCAAACACATCTTCTTGCATCTCTGAGAGCTAATCCGAGAAACAACCGAATCATTAGCCGGATAGATCCCATACAACTCCAAGTTCTTGAATTTCACCATATCGAAACTAGATTTGCATCCTAGCTTCTGATAAGGCGCCAAACACTTGGGATTCGAGACCGATGCAAAGGTATTATAAGGGCAACTGCATCCAGGGTATCCGGAACTGTTAAAAGAACAAACTTGCGATCCACAGGTCGCGAAAACCCGACATTGATTCTCAACAGCTTGCCAAACCGGTTTCCAAATCTTTGAATCCTCGTTCCACGAATACATTCTCAGATTACCATCCCGGTCAAGCCTAAGAAACCGAAACTTCACAGTATCGTTATGATCTTCCCCAAAAACAGACCAAACAGGTCTCATCAGATCTTGATCAACAAGAAACAGAGCTCCCTCTGAAGTAAGAACAGCACCAA